CTGCGCCCGGGCACCGCGCCGCGCGGAGCGTCTGCGAAAGCCCGGGCCTGGTCCGCGACGTCTGCGGGAACCGCCTGATCCGAGCGGGCGGCTCGGTGGATGGATTTATTGTTGTAAGAAGATTCGTATGAGTTTACTTGAGCTCCGTTGAGGACCATCGTGGGGAAGCCAAGTCTCAACGGGAAAAAAAAACGCTGCGCAGCCCCGCCGGCGTGGCTCGGGGTGAGCACCGACCTGGACCCAGGAGGAGGGTCCCCGGTGGGTCCCCGTCGGGCTCGGCCCCGGCTGCGGACTAGATGCCCGGAGGGGGTGCGCGGGAGGCAGGTCATCCATGATCTCTCCTCCCTTCCTCTCCCTGAATGCAATAAAAATATTAAATAAAAAAAATGCTTCCCAGAGCAGGTGGCTTTAAAATGAGAACCGCACAGTGACTGAGCAGGGACCTCCCCGTGGCCCAGGTGGGGTCGCCCTGGGGTTCCTGGCCCCGCCTAAGGGCGGGGTGAGGCCTCGGTCCCCAGCAGGGGGCGTGCAGGAGGCAGCCCGTCAACGCTGCTCTCCCATCATTGATGTTCCTCTCCCTCTCCCTTCCTCTCCCTGGAATAAATAAATAACTTTTTTTTTTTTTTAATAAGAACCCCTTGCCTGGCCTGGTGTGGCTCAGCGGTTGAGCATCGACCTAGGATCCAGGCGATCGGGGTTCGATTCCCGGTCAGGGCACATGCCCGGGTTGCGGGCTCGATCCCCAATGACTCTCTCATCATTGATGTTTCTGTCTGTCTGTCTCTCTCTCCTTTCCTCTCTTTGAAATCAATAAAGATATATTTAAAAAACAAAAACAAACAAAAACAAAAACTAACTTAAAAGAAAAAAATGAGAACCCCTTCACTGAGTTCCTGCTGTGCCGCTTCCCAGCCGTGTGCCCCTGGAGGAGTCTGGAAGTCCTCTGAGCCTCAGTTTTCCCCCTGGGGAGAGAAGGTGACCCTGGCGCAGGTTCAGGGAGATAAGGTAGGAGAGCGGTCCTCCCAGCACCTTGCGGAGACAGTCGATGCTCCTCAGATGCTCCTCAGATGTCTGTATCGTTGAGACAGGACACAAGTGCGTGACTGATGCAAAGCGGTGTGGGAGGCGCCAGGCAGGGAGATGAAGTCTAACTGTGGCGTCTGAAAGGCTCTTTGAAGGAGCGGGCATCTGGCCGGGCTTGTTGTTTTTTTAATCTTCACCCCAGAGGACGTGCTCAGAGAGAGGAGGGGGGCGCGGGGAGCATCGATGCGAGAGGGAAACAGCAATCGGTTGCCCTCCATACGCACTCCAGCCGGGGATCAAATCCGAAACCCAGGCATGTGCCCAACCGGCAACCTTTCAGTGTACAGGACGGCACTCCAGCCAATTGAGCCACTCTGGTCGCCCCAACCTGCTGGGTTTTAAAGGCAGAAAAGCCCTGGCCGGTGTGGCTCAGTTGAGCATCATTCCCCCCCTTCCCGCACCAAAAGGTCACCGGTTCAAATCCCAGTCAGGGCACCTGCCTGGTTTGTGGGCTCCATCCCCAGGAGGGGGCGTGCAGGAGGCAGCCGACTAATGTTTCTCTCTCTTTCTCCCTTCCCCTCTCTCTAAAAAAAAAAAAAATCAATAAAAACACCTTTTAAAATAAATAAGTAAATAAAGGCAAGAGAGCTGGGTTTTATTAAAATGAAATGGGAGAAGGTTATTGGGGAGAAAAATGCATTCCAGGCCGGGAGAACCAGAGAAGCAAGAGCCTGGAGGCAGGAAGATGCTGGGTGAGTTATGGGAAAGACAGGTTTTGTCGTGGGAACCAGCTGGGTCACAACGCGAGGCAGAGCATGACTGGAGGGGCCTGGTGTGTGAGTGGCCAGCCTGGTGGGTTTTGTCAGAATGCAGAGGACCAGCATGGCCCAGAGTAGGGCTGCTGCTAGCCTGTATGGCGTCTGTGAAAATTAGAAAAAGGCACCTTCTCTGGGCCCATAGCCCACGTGAGCAGAGCCCAGGCTGTGTTTCTGCCCCTACCCACTTGCCCCCAGCCCTCCTGGGGCCCCTGCCGGCTCATGGGGAAATGAGCACTGAGCTGGGGATGCACCGCTGCTCGCGCATGGTCACAGAGGCAGTTGGGGGAAACCAAGAGTTCTTGGTCGAAACAGACCGGAGTCTGAATGCAGGTTCCTACCATCACACTAAGTGAGCGAGCCTGTTTCCTCACGCACAGCGTAGAGGTAAAAATAATGCCTACCTAAGGGAGATTTGGGGTGGGTTCAATAAGATATTAAGTTATAACTAGCGTAGAGCCCCGTCCAGTAAATGTTAGCTTTGTTACTGTGTTGGCTGTGCTCACAGTCGGCCTCTGTCACTCCCAGGCGTCAGTTCAGCAAAGGCTAACTTCTGTGCAGCCACCGAAGCAGAGTCAGCTTGGGGTCCAGAGATGGAAAGGTTAGGGGAGGAGGGGGAGGGTCGGGGTCCTCCCACTCCCTCCAGTCCACAAGCCGTCTTGCCTTTGCATTCACACCAGAGCGGGGACTCAGGTACATTCAGAGATTGCTGAGACCACCCGTGATGGGGAGAGTTCAGGCGAAGGGGTGGGGTCGGGGGACGGCCCTGTTCCCGAGCTCTGACCCAGGAGCTCCTTCTCCACCCCCAGCTGTCCTGGGCCTGGCGCCCTCATCCTGCTGAGATGCTTCCCTCCCGGGAAGGGAGCAACGACACTCATCCGCTCCTGGCCCTCTAGGGGGCACAGTCACATGGCTACTGTTCATAGGGCGTCTGGAAGAAGGTGGTGACTGTTCTCTCCACATGGACTACCAGGGGCTCCTGAGAAGAGTCTGCCGCCATCTCCAGCCACTGCCTAGCCTGGGCTGCCCAGTCATTTTCCTCTTCTCAGGGGTTGATTTTTGCCCCTTGCTAAACAGATGTTAATCAGACCACTACCTTCCACGTACCACCCTGGAGCCTGCCCTGTGCCAGGGGCTTGCCCACCTTGTAGGCAGGCGGTGCTGACTCATGCATGGGACGCACATCCATTACATTTGTCTGCAGCGTCTCCCCTGCCCCATCCTGGGGACAACCGTAGTACCACCCTCAGGCCCCAGGGACCTGGACTGGGCCCAACTGATATCTGAGATTCCCCATCGTTTAGCCAAAGTGATTAGCCTACAGTTGGGCATGTGACCTGAGCTGGGCCAGTTAGGGTCCTTCCCTGGGCGTTTCTATATGGATGCTAAAGACAGATTTTGTCTCTCCTCCTGGGTCACTACACTGGGGTGAGAAAGCTGTGACCCTGTCCCTCTCTCTTCTACATCAAGCTCCGTGAGAAGTCCAGCCAAAAGGAAAAGACACAGAGAGATGGAGACAGAGACAGAGATGGAAAGAGAAATGTAAGGTGCTCTCTCCCAAGTTTCCAGGGTCCCTGAGACCAGCTTCGCCCTGGTCTTCCAAGTTCCAGGAATCAATCAATAACGATTTTTGCTGATGCTACTTTCAGTTGGGTTTCTGTCCCTTGCAAACCAGAGGCCTTCCAGATGCCATGAGATTTGAAGGCCTTTGGAAGGACAGCACTAGCCGAAAGCGCCTCCCTCTCAGTGCCGTAAGCTCATCCCTTCCCGCTGTCCTCTTGCTTCAGCTTTCAGCCCCCTGCCAGCCGCCCTGCCTCCGGTGGCCACACACCTCCCACAGGGTCAAGTCCAAGCTCCCGAGAGCAGTCCCCAAAGCCTTCCACACCCCTGGCCTCTCCAGTCTTAGCACTGTCCCCTCACTGTTTAGCACTGTGTCCAAATGGACTAAATTATATATATCTATGTATATATATAGTTAGCTCATGTAAATGGGTTGTGCTGCCTTCTCAGACCTCAGCTCTTTGCATAACAGATGGGGTACAGACATCTCGTTGAGTCCCTCCTTTGGGTGCTTTCTACACCTATCTTTTTGTTCCAAATGTTTTTTAAATTGATTTTTAGAAAGAGTGGAAGGAAGAGAGAGAGAGAAACATCCATGAGGGAGAGACATCATGGATCGGCTGCCTCCTGCATGCCCCCTGCTGGGGATCGAGCCCGCACCTCGGGCAAATCGAATTGGTTCCTGGGTCGATGCTCAACCACTGAGCCACACCAGCCGGGCATTACAAGTGTCTTTTAAAAATTGCATCCTCTCATCTTGCAGCAATGCCTGGACAGATCGCTTTTCAAGGCTGTAGGGACTGTTGACTATGTCACAGGACCCCGCGGTCTTCCCTCTCTCCCCCCAGCATCTACACGGTTTTCTCTTCCTCGGCAGAGGGGCCCTCCCTGCAGGCTCATTCTTCAGGGGACTCTGATGAGACGGTAACTTGGAAATCTCTGAACAGCGGGTCCATGCAAAGCAGATGTAAATTGGGTGCACATCCTAGGGGGCGAAAGGCTCCCTCCCGGTTGGTTCCACCCACAGGTGCTGCCCAGCGTTGAGATAGAGCCCCCAGTGTGGAAAGAGGGGGTTCT